TATTATGTAACTGGTTTTCAATAAAAATCAAACATGTCTGTAATTGTAGTTTGTTGTTTAATAAAACTTGTCGGCCTTTTGTCTTGTCGGCCTTTTGGCTGTCGGCCTTTTGTCTGTCGGCCTTTTGTCTTGTCGGCCTTTTGTCTTGTCGGCCTTTTGGCTGTCGGCCTTTTGGCTGTCGGCCTTTTGTCTTGTCGGCCTTTTGTCTTGTCGGCCTTTTGGATGTCGGCCTTTTGGAAGTCGGCCTTTTGTCTTGTCGGCCTTTTGTCTTGTCGGCCTTTTGTCCATGTCGGCCTTTTGTCCGTGTCGGCCTTTTGTCCATGTCGGCCTTTTGTCCGGATCCCATTGCTTGCATAAATGTCTGAGAAAGTTCTTCTCCTCCAAGGGAGGCAAATCAGTGGATATTAGTTGACATTGCAAATTTTAAGGGAACGCGGGACGCCAATTTTTTTTAATGAGCGCAATTTACATTCGCCCAGATAGCTTTCTGACAAATGATTCGCACTTTTGTTTCTGCGTCATGTTTTTTCAATTAATTTAGATTTTGGAGGGAAATACTGAAAAACATTGATGTTAAATTATGTAACTTAAAATTCATGAAAAAATATTTTTACAACTGGTTAAATATTATAAAGGACACATGAAACACGTCCTCATCCCAATAAATGTACCGTAACGTAATTAAACGGCAGACTTGAAAACCGCAAAACAACCTTTAGCTAATCAAATTATAAAAAACAGTTCAGTACCAGTTGATAAAAATTATTTTTTAACGTTAAAGCTATAGTAACCATGGCACTTAATCTCTACAATATTTACATTAATCTGATTAGACTGAAGGAAGCGAATGTTGTGTAATACTTCCAGACTGTCAGATCAGCTAAATACATAGCAAACCATCGGAGTTATTTCCCTTGCTACTACTGCCATTACTAAGGGGAGGGAAAAGCGAGTCGGCTTTAAGAAATCGAAAAGGGTTATATTTGTGTTGATACTAAATTACAGTCGTGGTACGGATCAAAGCATATATTCAGAATGGCTCAAGGATTCTGATTTTGTTCCAGGATAAAAAAATTAGCTGGACGTAAGCTAAAAAATAATCTACAATATTCTTTTGAAATGAATTTGATCACATCTTCGTAGTTGCTTGGATGTCAAAACTACAAGATGTCGTCACACATAAGTCAGCTAATGCAGCGATCTCCACACCTTTTGTCACTGTGCCTATTTATTATTGTTGAAAAGGAAAATAATATCGTCCTCTCATCTACCTCTCATCTTATAAAATATTTAATTTTTGGCACAAATGTTTCTTGTGCGACGGTAGAGCACACGACAGTTAAACCAATAATCTTGTGTTCGAATCCCGTGCTCAAATCTTCAGAGTTCAACCAGTGCTGGCAGTTACATGGCTCACGTTAGGGAAAGTAAGGGGGGGGGGGGGGCATAGTGGTGACCACACTATCCCTTCATTTGCTGAGATTTAAAAGAATCAGGTGAACTCTGCTTCATCTGCCATATGGACCGCCAAGGTAAATTTTTATAGATATAACAATAACCATAATTGATCTAGAATTCAAGGTAGCGAACCTTTTGTGGTGATCAATGTTTAGAACAAAAAAAGGGAAATAACTTCCGAATAGAGCATATATTTTATACAGGATAACTTCTAATTGCAAACGTAAATTAAAACAATTAGGGAGACAAACGTGTTTTTTTTTCTAACAATAAAAGTTTCAAATTCAGATTTCTGTGAATCTTTTCGCCTCCCTTTTCCATTATTCCGTTCCCCATCATAAAAATGTGAAGATTTTATATCACCCTACACCACTAATCATTAATTTTTCTTTCGTATTTAGTAGATCTAAAATGTACCGTTGATATATATATATATATATATATATATATATATATATATATATATATATATATATATATATATATATATATAAGAAAACGTACTAAAATAGACAAGGCCGGTATTTGATGTGATCCCAGACCCATTCACCCTCACCCCCCCCCCCCCCCCCCCCCCCCGACCCAGGAATAAATAGCCTCTCGCCTGTCACGTGGAATGGATAGATGTCACGTGGGAGACGACTGTTTACATTCTGTATGGTGGAGATTTGCGTCCATTCACAGAATCAGAAACAGATGGCCGTGTTCTCAGAGCGCCCTCTAACTGCACCCCTCAGGCTAATGGCGCCTCACAAGCTGATGCCACCCCTCAAACTGATAGCGCCCCTCAAGCTTATGGCGCCCCTTACGCTAAAGGCACCCTTTACGCTAAAGGTGCAACTCAACCTAATGGCGCCCCGCAAGCTGATAGCGCTCCTAAAGCTAATGGCGCCCCTTAAGCTGAAAGCGCCCCTCAAGCTGATGACGTCTCTCAAGCTGATGGCGCCCTCAAGCTAATGGCGCCCTCAAGCTAATGTCACCCCGTTAACTGATGTAGCTCTCAAACTGATGGCGCCCCTAGAGCTGATGCCACCCCTGAAGATAATGACGCCCCTTAAGCTGATGCCATCCTTTAAACTAATGCCACCCCCCAAACTAATGCCACACTCAAGCTAAATGCGCCCCTCTAACTAATGGCGCCCCTCAAACTTATGGCGCCCCTTCAGCTAAATGCGCCCCTGAAACAAATGGCGCCTCTTAAGCTGTAGGCGCCCCTCAAGCTTATGCCACCCCTCAAGCTAAATGCGCCCCTCAATCTAATGGCGCCCCTTTTGCTGAAGGCGCCCCACAAACTAATGCCACCCCTCAAGCTAATGCCACCCCTCAAGCTAATGCAACCCCTCAAGCTAATGCAACCCCTCAAGCTAAATGCGCCCCTCAAACTAATGGCGCCCTTCAAACTAATGGCGCTGTATAACGCTTGTCAGTTTGTGCCGTTTTGTAATGGCTGAGGTAGAAAGTTTGACGTAACTTCCGGTTGTAGGATATATATTTGGGATACGAGACACGGCCATATTGTTTTGTTATATATGCTACACTTTTTTATTGTTTTTTTTTTCCTTTCTTTTTTGACAGCACTTTTGAAAGCTGCAAATGTTGCCTTTGTATCTGCGTCTTTCGAGGTTTAAAATGTTCTACGCCAAGATAATATCAATGTTGTTTTATTTCAATTCTATTTATCGCGCTAGTAGAGTTTGCGAAATCCGACTTAACACCCTGACACAATATGCATTCATTGCGCGTGCGTATATTAATGACTTCTTTCCATTTCTAATGTACCAACAGTATAATGATTTTAATTAGTGACACTCAATTTGTTGTATTGAGCCGACACCTTAATTTTAACTATTATAATTTGCTTGAGTTTGATTGAGTTCAGCTAATTATACATTTTTTTTAAGTTCCTTTTTTCGAACCTGACGTTCCGTTGGGCAAGTGAAGTAGAGTTTGCCTGTTTCTGTGACCTCTGCATATGAAGGGATAATGTTGTCAGCACTAAGCCCAGCCACCTTTAATTTCCCTAACGTGTGTTAGGTACCCATCAGAGCTAGGTACCCATTCGAACTCAAGATTTTCGACTGAGCAGTCTAGCACTCTATCTTCAAGCCATGTCGTACACACTATGTTTCAGCTCTCTATACCGTGGTCTTTGATTTTCCGATAAGAATATTTCATAGATTTTTTTTTTCTTTTTAAACTTTTAAACAGATCATTCGTTAAATTAATTGTATTACATTGTATTAATTAATGAATTGTATTAAATTAATTTTGTTAACGTTTGAGAAAATATTATTTTAATCATATATTTTAATAATAATTATACGTACTGCCTATTAGTATATCTACTTTAACAATCGGATTACAATTATTGAGCAGTTGTTATTGACAGTCATACGAATGCGCCGAATGGCTAAGCCGCTTGTTTAGCAGGCTATACACGTTTTGTTATGTTAATTTTGTTTTCAATCTTCAAGTGTTGGGGAACAATTCCACACGAAAATATGTTGACAGAACTGTTGAGAGCATCTTGTGATATCTGATGAGCATAAGAGCATCTTGTGATATCTGATGAGTATAAGAGGATCTTGTGATATCTGATGAGTATAAGAGCATCTTGTGATATCTGATGAGCATAAGAGGATCTTGTGATATCTGATGAGTATAAGAGCATCTTGTGATATCTGATGAGTATAAGAGGATCTTGTGATATCTGATGAGTATAAGAGCATCTTGTAATATCTGATGGGTATAAGAGCATCTTGTAATATCTGATGAGTATAAGAGCATCTTGTGATAGCTGATGAGCATAAGAAGATCTTGTGATATCTGATGAGCATAAGAGGATCTTGTGATAGCTGATGAGCATAAGAGGGTCTTGTGATAGCTGATGAGCATAAGAGGATCTTGTGATAGCTGATGAGCATAAGAAGATCTTGTGATATCTGATGAGCATAAGAGGATCTTGTGATAGCTGATGAGCATAAGAGGATCTTGTGATAGCTGATGAGCATAAGAGGATCTTGTGATAGCTGATGAGCATAAGAGGATCTTGTGATAGCTGATGAGCATAAGAAGATCTTGTGATCTTATGCACCTTGTTGACACATTCAGTTTATCTGAGACAGCATAACAGGCCTACCACTAAGTGACGTCCTATCAATAATCCAAACTGTAACCTTGGCCTTGTATTTCAGTGCTAAGTCCTACTTATAACCCAAATTTAACCTTGACCTTGTCTTTCAGTGCTGAGTCCTACTTATAACCCAAACTCTAACCTTGACCTTGTCTTTCAGTGCTAAGTCCTACTTATGACCCAAATTTAACCTTGACCTTGTCTTTCAGTGCTAAGTCCTACTTATAACCCAAACTCTAACCTTGACCTTGTCTTTCAGTGCTAAGTCCTACTTATAACCCAAACTGTAACCTTGACCTTGTATTTCAGTGCTAAGTCCTACTTATAACCCAAACTGTAACCTTGACCTTGTATTTCAGTGCTAAGTCCTACTTATAAACCAAACTCTAACCTTGACCTTGTGTTTCAGTGCTGGACGGTATCCAGATGCCGGCCACCAAGTCCTGGGTCACACGTTGGGTCAACTATAAGCTCTACTTCTGCACGTCGTTGTGTAAGAAACCGATCTCTAAACGAGGTGAGTACTTGGTGTGTGTGTTCCTATATATATATATATATATATATATATATATATATATATATATATATATATATATATATATATATATATATATATATATATATATATATATATATATATATATATATATATATATATATATATATATATATATATATATATATATATATGCATGTATGTAAGAGGCCGGCGTTGTAGAATGATAGAACGTACGACTGATCAAATTTGTAGAACGTCCCTGAGCCCACCCAGCTCTGATGGGTACCCTTCTATTTGATCTACCCCATATGTCTTGTGCACAAACGGGAAACGTTTATGATGATATTTCAGTAGCCATGCAAGAACGATAATAAGATATTCTGTCGTGAATAGGGATGGATCCTTTAGTGCTAACTACATTTACACCGATTTCGTTACCTCAAAACATAAGTTTTTAAGTTCTTTAGCTGATGTGATTTGTGGCCCTCTGACAGTGAACTAGTGAAATGATGGCTTTAATTATTGATTTTATCAATTGATTTGGGGGTGATACAAATATCTCAGTGTTGGGACTAGGTGATTTCAGGTGACACACGATAATCCAGTGCTATGATTAAAGGTGAGCGGATTAACCTTTACATTCGTTCAATCGTAACAAATGTGACACAGAGACTTTGACAGATGATGGTGACCTATGGTGACATATGGTGACACAGATCGTGTTTGGTGAGCTAATGCAAGCGGTTGTTTGTGTACCATTTAGGAACGCCGAGCTACCAATGTGTACCTAGGGGCGCCGAGCTACCAATGTGTACATAGGGGCGCCGAGCTACCAATGTGTACCTAGGGGCGCCGAGCTACCAAAGTGTACCTAGGGGCGCCGAGCTACCAATGTGTACATAGGGGCGCCGAGCTACCAATGTGTACATAGGGGCGCCGAGCTACCAATGTGTACCTAGGGGCGCCGAGCTACCAAAGTGTACCTAGGGGCGCCGAGCTACCAATGTGTACATAGGGGCGCCGAGCTACCAATGTGTACATAGGGGCGCCGAGCTACCAATGTGTACATAGGGGCGCCGAGCTACCAATGTGTACTTGGGGCGCCGAGCTACCAATAGCTTTGAACAAAATTTCGACCAACCAACCGTCTGACTCATGAAGATTTCTGCTTGACCAAATTAAATAAGGCTCATAAAAATCATTGCGCTAATTCTCACAAAACTAGAGATACACAACACCCAAAACATCAAACAAAAACTTTATTTGTTAAAACATAAAAATACCCAACCCCCACAAATGTGGAAGAAAAAGTGTAACGTTACTGTCAAGACAAGAGCTCGCTATTTCAAGTCACAGTTAGCTCTTTGCTGGTTTCATTTGGTTTGCACCGGATTTCAGATCGGATCATATTTCTTAGCGTCCACTTTTTTAGATACGGATCATTATTTTTAGAGATGGTGAGATATTCTTGATGCATGTATTGTGATACAGTTATATGAGGTGCAAATATGTTGGAAAATAGTGTGATACAGTTATGTTGAATACAAATATGCTTCATAACGTATATAGCATATAACAAATAACATATATTTACAAGTATATATAGATATATATACATACATATATATATATATATATATATATATATATATGTATATATATATATATATATATATATATATATATATATATATATATATATATATATATATATATATATATATATACATATATATATATATATATATGTATGTATATACATATATATATATATATATATATATATATATATATATATATATATATATATATATATATATATATATATATATATATATATACAATACTTCCTTACAAACGTATCTGTGTTTTCTGGCAAGTCATTTACGTATTTAACGTTTGGTGCCTTGAAGCGTCATATCGACCTGAGGTCACTATGTGATGAAGTCCAATGGACTTGACGTAAGTGACATGATGACCTATTGACCGCTCGTCCTCGTGTTTCACACTGTCCTGATACGTCCAGTGTGCTATGGCCTCTAGAGAGAATGAACGAATCTTTGGACCGGATTCCGAATGTTTGCTGACAAACCCTCTGTTTAAACAAAGCCAACGTGTGTTACATATTTCTATCCAGATATTTGTTTTACTTTTAGCATATCTAGCCGTGGCAGAAAAATTGTTAAATTCACTAGGTACACGTACCAAGTTTCAGTTTCTTCAGCCATATTTAAAAAAACCGCAGACCAATCCAAAACAATGAATTATACCTTAAGCATACACTATTTATCATGGTTTTTTTTTTAAAATATATTGTATCTATATGTTATACGCTTTCAAAATCAATATCAATCAATTAAACGAATATTTTCGATTAACTTAGATATGAAACGATTGTTAACGACATTATGTTTATTAATTTTATAACTTTGTTTTGAGCATCAAATTTTTTCTTGAAGAAATGTTTCCAATTTTAGCCCATCCAACATTTTAACATTTTTAAAACAAAACGCGATAGCACTGTATTTGATTTAGGAAATAAATTATTTTCACCTAAGAATCTCCGGTAATTGAAATGTATTCATTCGGCTATAAATAGCACACAATCATCAACCAATCAGAGAACGAGCTGATCTTTTCCTCAAAAGTGCGCACACTGCGCATTTTCCCAGCGCGGGGGATGACGTAATTTCCGTGTCTGGTCTCGTTATGAGAGAATCTTCTGGAAGGTGATGGGTTTATTCAATAAGCTCGGCTGCATGGGGAAGAATAGCTAATTAATGCGCTTAAGTAAATTAATGACAATCGGATTTTAAAATATTCCTTTTATTATTCCACTGTGTCCTTTTGGAAGCAAAATAAAATCCTGATTCTGTAGTGTTATATAATTCAGGTGATGCCGAATAGTTATTTAAATACAAATTTTTCCCTGGTAAGGAGGGAAGGGGGGGGGCTTTTGTGGGTATCCCGTCTGTGCATGTCTTTCAACATTATATTGCATCAAGAATTTTAAAACAACGAAAAAAAATCATCATCAGAAAACACCGGAAGTAACAGTTGGTTTCGTTACAATTGTGTTCAACTTCCGGTAGCGATCGTATGGTTAGGGTGAGGATTATGGTTACAATCAGGGATTCAGTGAGGATTTAGATTAAGGTCAAAGCTAAGGTAGCGATAAGGCTAAATCCAATGTTATATTTAGCTCGGCATCGAATGTGTCTTGACAAAGTATAACAAGCAAAAAAATATTTTTTGCGCATTAGGTTGGTGAAAACCTTCACTCACACTCAAATAAAAATCTATTAGAACAGTCCGATACAATGGAATGGGAACTAACTCACACAATAAACAATTTACTAATCTTTTTAACCAGAAATAGGGGCAGTGTAGGCGGTGTGGGATACTATTTATAGCATGCACGTGCACCGCTCCGTGACAATAACTCCATGTTTTTTTTTTCATTTAGTTAGCTGTCAGTAGGACAGCTCTGTTAATGGCACTTGAACTCTTAGTTAATAGAAAATTATCTGTATATATATATATTTTATATATATATATATATATATATATATATATATATATATATATATATATATAACATGTTGGACTCCATTGTTTTAGAGTTATTAACTCAGTACATCAGTTTTTGAATGAACGAGAGTCAAGGACAAATGTAGCTTTAAAAGTTCCAGAACTACATTATTCAACTCATTGATACATTAATGTTGAGCATTTCTCCATAACGTCATAGCGTCTCGCACTGGTAGCTTGTTTCTTATTTCCGTTCCGAATAACAATTCACATAGCTACTGCTACATACGACAAAGTAATTAGGGAAAAGTAGCGAGACAGTCTAGACATGACCAGCTAGCTGTGATGACGATAGAAACAACAGCTGCCCTGTTTATCTGCCCTGTCTTGTGTGAGGCTACCTTTTGTGATAGGGCACGTGGGGCAGACAATAGGGGACGTAATTTGATGACGTAGACGGTGGAAAACGTGATTAGGTTGTTTTTTTGTTTTGTTGTGACGATTCGAGTGGTCGGTGGGAAGGACGTAGTGAGGAAGTAATGAATGACTGACGTGAAGTTAGGAATAGATGACTGACCATCGTGTCGGATGGAGTATGATCGTGATGCAAGTATTGAATGACCACCATATAATAAGGAATATGATCTTGATTCAAGTATTAAATGGCCATCATATAATAAGGAATATGATCCTGATTCAAGTATTGAATGAACATCAAATAAGGAATATGATCCTGATTCAAGTATTGAATGAACATCATATAATAAGGAATATGATCCTGATTCAAGTATTGAATGACCATCATACAATAAGGAATATGAGGTTGATTCAAGTATTGAATGACCATCATGCAATAAGGAATATGATGTTGATTCAAGTATTGAATGACCATCATGCAATAAGGTATATGATGTTGATTCAAGTATTGAATGGCCATCATGCAATAAGGAATATGATCTTGATTCAAGTATTGAATGACCATCATGCAATAAGGAATATGATGTTGATTCAAGTATTGAATGACCATCATGCAATAAGGAATATGATGTTGATTCAAGTATTGAATGACCATCATGCAATAAGGAATATGATGTTGATTCAAGTATTGAATGACCATCATGCAATAAGGAATATGATCTTGATTCAAGTATTGAATGGCCATCATGCAATAAGGAATATGATCTTGATTCAAGTATTGAATGGCCATCATGCAATAAGGAATATGATGTTGATTCAAGTATTGAATGACCATCATGCAATAAGGAATATGATCTTGATTCAAGTATTGAATGGCCATCATACAATAACGAATATGATGTTGATTCAAGTATTGAATGGCCATCATTTTGTAAAGAATATGATCTTTGATCAAGTATTGAATGTACGCTGTCCAAATATTGAATGGTAGCAAGGAATGGATGAATGATTTACCATTTAATAACGTATCAAATCCTAGTTGAAGTGTTGAACAAATACCAGATAATCGA